TTTTTTTTTTTTTTTAAGGGGGGAAAATCATCGAATGACTGCTCCCGCCTGGGTGAGGCGGGAGGGAGTGTCAGACTCTTACTGACTAAAAACCACCCCGTTCCTTCTCCTGCACGTCGAGCCGGAGCCCCGGTTACCCGTTAGGTTCTCCGCGACTCCGAATCGGCATCGGCCGTATTGGGCCCCATCTGTGGTGGTCTGATGGCTCTTTGAGGCGCGCGCGGAACGCGACGCGCCGTACGCTCGGGACTTACATTGGTTAGGTTGTAAAAATATCGGCGCGATAGCGGCGATAGACGAAATTCAAAACTTCTACTTGGAATTTCAAGTGTTTTGTCAATCAACAAAATATAAACAATTGGGTAGGTAACTGTGAGGGCCATAACGTACTATTCTTAGCACTTTATAATTTTCGTCATGGAAACAAGGGTACATATTTTTAATTAGAGGTAACTTGTAGAATTTATTTATTAAATATTCTATTTTTATCATGTACTTACAATACTTTAGGTGGTATAGCGTAATTATTTATTTTGCAGCAGAAGAGTATAAAATATTGTAAAATTTAAATTATCATAAAATTTAATTTATTAATTGTAAATTTGTAGCCAATAGTTTACAATTAAATCACAGGGAAAACACATTTATGGCATATAAAAATACAACTTGTCCTATACTGTTTAAATACTCCAACTACTATTTTGAATTTTACATGGCCAATGCCAATAAAACTTTGCTCAACCCAGTATTTAAAGCCTGTGGCCAGCAGTCGCAGTATACGACACAGGCAGGCACAAAAATCCTAACAATAATATGTTATAATGATCATTTATTTAGTTATTTATTCATGTACACAACACAGACAATACACAGAAAAAAAAAATTATAACAAAACAGAGGTACATATGTACTGCATATCCCTTATAGGATAATGATAGTGATAGATACAAAACAAAGGGTTTTGATCATGTTGCGTTCCTGGAAATTGTATATAGGTACTTATTCCGCATTTCCAGCGAGTTAAGGCAAGTAGTAACTTGTGGGATGGCAGATGATACAGTTTGCTGACACAAAACGTCCTTCATTAAATAGCCTTTATGTGGTTGCAATGCACTGAACACCTATAAATGAAAGAATCAATTTTAATTTCAATTCAACATATAAGGGGTAAATTGGCACATTAAATACTTTTTTGATACTGTTAGCGTTATAATTACCTTCGTCTCGATAGATAAGTCTGTGGATTTTTGTGGATTTCTCATTGATGGCCTTATATTTCGTCACATAAATTGCGTACAAGTTCATCTGTATTAGCCTATATCGCCTAACTAATTTCGTGTCGTCTAAACGGAAAGGCGGACACTCTTCACACATTTACATGCGCTGCTTCCTGTTATTATGACTATTCGAGGGTCCGGCGTGATCAGCCTCCAAAAATTCAAAGATTTCGTATTCACTTGCCATCTAAAACTAAACAACAAAATTATGTATCTGGACACCAAAATCACTACAATACACATAACACAATTTTAATAAAGGCAATTTTACTTATTTTGTGCCGTTTTACTCACTTTATGTAATGTGTAATTGTGTAAGTAACACTTATTTTTCAATAAATTCCGCAAATCAATGTTGTTGAAGTAGCACCGGAGCAACTTATTTAAGATTGCTAAATTTGACGTAAAAACAATATTGCTAAGCGTCACAAAACACCTCATGGTACGGTTTGAACGAACGATACGTACGTGACGTCACCAAAACTGCTAAAAAAGTAAGATTGTTTTAGAACTCTTTATAAGGTTATTTTAAGACGTTGTGGTACGAAAATACAAAGTAAGATTATAATAAGACTGCTTTAAGACGTTGTGGTAGGCCCCCAGGACTAGTTTCAAGCCATGCTTGAAGCTCATATTAATGAGCAGCATTCCGCGACCGTCGCGACTGTCGCGCTACTACGCTGAGTAGATACAAACTAGTCGAGTTCACCGCAACGGTGACCGCAACCTATTGTTCTATAATTGTGTCTATAATGACGGTACTCAACGAGTTAAGTACTTACCTACATTCCGAGCAAATCAATAAATATTTAAAAAAAAAATGTTAACCAAAATGTAATTTATATTAAGCTAGTGACACCCCTAAAATTTGCAACGCCTGAAAAAGGCCGTTAAGCTGTGCCTGTTATTTCATAAGACCTGTAATGACCTGTATGTATTACCTTGACATGCAAATAAAGAGTTTGAGTTCACCGATTCATGGTAGATGTTCCGCCCACACGAAGCGCTTCGCTTCAAGCTTCCTTGTGCGTACTGCTAAAGAGTGGAATTCTTTGCCAGAGTCTGTATTTCCTGAAGGGTATAACTAAGGAGTTTTCAAGGCCCGAGTGAATAGGTTGCTTATGGGACGACGTGCTCCATCTCAGACCGCATCATCGCTTACCACCAGGCGAGATAGTGGTCAAATGTCGCACCATCAAATATAAAAAAGAGTTCCTCGTCAAATGGTTTCGTGAGTAAGCCGAAAACATAATAATTAATTTATTATGTCTCAAGAAAGTTTTAATAATCCTGACTAATGAATTATGTTTAATTAAAAACAATATAGGATTATTTAATGAAATTTTATCTGTTCCTTTATCTGATGCGGCCAAAAAGTTGTATAGTTTTTAACCGACTTCCCAAAAAAGGAGGAGGTTCTCAATTCGGCTGTATGTTTTATTGCAGGTCTTCGTTTTGTTAATTAAATAGATAGACCCGACCGGGTGAGGCGAGAGGGAGGTGGTTTTTCAGTCGACTCTTTACTGACTAAAAACCACCCCATTCCTATTCCTGCACTTCGAGCCGGAGCCCCGGCAACCCGTTAAGTTTTCCGCGGCTCGTTAAATACATATCAAGAGTATTTTGTTTGTATAACTTATAAGTTTAACATCTTATACTATTATATAAAGCGGAAGTTTCGTTTTTTTGTTTGTTTGTTTGACCGCGCTAATCTCTGTAACTACAAGTCTGATTTGAATAATTCTTTTTGTGTTGGATAGCGTATTTATCGAGAATGGCTATAGGCTATAAAACATCACGCTACGATCAATAGGAGCTGAACAGAGCGTGTGAAACCGCGCGGAAGTAGCTAGTATAAGATATTAGGTAAAATGGAACTGTCGTGTATTTATGTACAAAAGTTCCTAAGTAAATGAAGAGAAAAAAAGTTTTAATACACAGGTAATTTAATTTTATTTGTTATATTTCAGATGCTACCATTACTTCGCAGAATCTATCCGTGATGGAGGTTTCACAGGAGTCAAGTGTGAGAGCTACGAACACGCACTTGTAGGAGACTGCCATCTACCGGAGACACTGAATATGGGAGGAATCGAACCTAAGACTGGGTCAGTATCCTTACATATACCAGACTCCAACATCCTTTTTTTAAGAACGATTTTAATTTACAAAATCTTGTTGCAAACTATGATACTTTTTGAATACCACATCAAAAGCGGTTCAGTCGATTGTGAGAAAGTTGGTTAAAAAAAGAACTGCCGTTCACTTACTATTCATCGAAACCGAATTCAAAAACCAAAATTCTCATTTATCAGACCCATTTCTTTTTTTTTACTGGGGGAAAATCATCGAATGACTGCTCCCGCCTGGGTGAGGCGGAAGGGAGTGTCAGACTCTTACTGACTAAAAACTATCAGACCCATAAGTCGAATCCTATAAAGGTCGAAACACATAACCTCATTGCGTCGTCGCAACGCTAAAATCGGCAGATTGCGTTGCGGTGCGTTGCGGCGTTGCGGCGTCGTAAAACAGAGCGTTTTGTTAAAGTAACAAATAAGCAATAAGTTTTTCACGATGGTCCATGACAGAGACACGTCTATCCACAATCAACGTCTACCGAAAGATAATAAAATGCTCTTTTTCACGACGCCGCAACGCCGCAACGCAAACTGCCGATTTTAGTGTTGCGGCGACGCAACGCGGTTTTGAGTTTCGGCCCTAAGGGCATAACTAGTTTGCGATTAATCAATAATTTAATAATATTCTTATGCTATCTACTTATTTAGTAGACTTCAAAAAATAAGAGGTTCTCCAAGATATTTTTTTTATTATTCTGTTTTATTATTTTCAGAAAATCCGGCGTGTTCTACTTGGAAACAAACGCCGGAGCGCCCTTCTCAAAAGGCTAAACAACCAAAGACTAGAAATAAAGAAAATCTTTGTATAATAACAATAAAATAAAAATACAAAAATGACAAATCTCATTTTTATTTACAATAATAATAACACATAACAAAGTATGTACACAAAGAAATTGTTATGTATGTATGTATAGATGCAAAGGTAGAATGCGGGCTGCGCCCCGCTTCCCCGCTCCGCTATGAAGTTTAAATAAAATAAACCAGTGTGCAACTAACTAGCGAGTTTAATTGGCGTGCGCATCGTTCCCTTACAAGGAGATACTCAACAGAAATTAAAATTAAATAAAACATAAAAAGTTACAACTAACATTTTTGCACTTCCTAGAGGGCGTCACTCACGATTTAAGTCCCATTAGTCTTAAAAAAGCGAAACTGGTAGTTTCATTACCAAATACAGTTGCCTTATACTACAACAACGCCCTCTAGCGAAAGCGAAAATCATCTTACAAGTTATTTATTTAACTTACAGCAAATTTGAATCGGTAGGTAAGCATTAAAAATCAACTCCTAAGAGTAAGACAAAAATTATATACTTAAATTAGTAATAAAAATGGCAGTATCAATTTGACATTTAAAAAAACTTACAATTTTGAAATTATTTTTCCTTAATCAACAATTTTTGAAGAAAAAAAAGGAAAGCCAAGTCATTTAGTACTTATCCAGGTAAGAAAACAAAGATTGGTTCGGTACAGAGACAGTAACCATTAGTTGTCTAGAGCCGACTGAGTTACAGAAGACATGGCTTCGTTACAAAGCGTACAATTTAATATAACAATGACTACTGTCTGTCTCTTTGAAGGATCGAATCCGAAACGAAGTGATCCGATAAAGAACCAAAGTTATCGACATAGCACAAAGGAGTAAGCTAAAATGGCAGTGAGCCGAACATATTTGTGGAAGAACCGATAACGTGTTCTAGAGTGGAGACCGCGTCAAGGCAAATTTAGTGTAGGGCACTCTCCAGCTAGGTGCATTGACGACATCCGCAGGGTGACTGGCAGTGGTTGGATGAAAAGAGCTGAAGACAGAGCTCAGTGGCGTGCCATTGGAGAGGCCTATGTCCAGCAGTGGACGAACATGGGCTGATGATGATGATGAGTTGAGTTTGTTTCGGCATTTCTTCTCGGAGTAGTCATTTAGGAAATGTCGACCTCATCGTTCGCTTGATAAAATTAACGTATAAAAGTGCTGCCTTGTTGCCTATTTGCAGAAATAAATTCACTTGTTTCACTGATGACTGTCTCTATACTGAACCAATCTTTAGTTTCTTACCTGAATACTAAATAACTTGGCTGCCTTAATAAAAGTTCTATTCTCATAGCAATAAAAATCATTTTTGTCTATTTCTTAATCAGTACATTCATATCTTGTCTAATTTAATTTTCTATTTAATCAGTGTGTTATGTATTCGAGACTTTAGTCCATATTACAGTGACATAAGGTCTTTTATTCTCTGAAGGGGTAGACAGAGTTGCATTACGGCACTTTGCTCTTAAGTATTATTTTTAATAATTGCAATGTGATGTTCATAAGATTATTATTATTCGACTTTTAGACCTGTAAAGGTTTTTTCTCTTTTTCTGTTTTTTATACTACGGCGGTAGCAAACGGCCCACCTGATGGTAAGCGGTTACCGTGGCCTATGTATGCTTGCAACACTTGGGGCTCGCGCCTTGCCGACCCTTAATGAACCTATTTACTCTTTGAAGGATTACATTGTAAGGTCTTTATCATCATGACTATTTTTTCTTTCTGTGATAGGCAGAGGTGCATATAACATTAATAATGAGCTTTATTCTACCAATCAAGCTCTTAATTTGATATCCATAATGAAGGTAGTTGTGGAAACAAATAGGTTATATTGTATGGTCATCAAGATTAAGACTGTACCAAATATCAGATCGACCTATCGTGAGAAAGGGCGAAAATTTACTAAGGGCCAATTTTCAATGCTCAATTAAATTATACGAGAGGAATAACTTTGAATATTTGACAATTACATAACATAACATCATGCCTTTTATCCCCGAAGGGGTAGACAGAGGTGCACATTATGCCACTGTACAATGTCTCAACCAATTGTCACTATTTATGTTATCAGTCCCATGTAATAGGGGGTGAGCCTATTGCCATATACCGGACACAATTCCAGACTCCGTGCTACTACTGAGATTTTTTTTAAAAACCCAGTAATACTTTGAGACCCCTTACCCAGCAGTCGCACTTGCGACCACTAGGCCGACAAGGCAGTGAATTATATTTGACAATTGTCCCTTACTAATAATTCTCAAATGTCAATTTTAACTACAGTTACGAATTAACTGATTATTGAAAAATAGGCCCTAAAGGTGATACTTTTCTGAGCATTTGCTAAAGGAACCGGCCAACGACAAAAAAAATGAAGGTATCGTGAGAACTAGCCGTTTGGAGCAATAGTTATTAAACTGTCAAACACCGCGAGAACACCGTTGACTTCAACCTATTGCCTATAATATAACCTATTCGGTAATTGTGTCTATAATGACGGTACTCAAAGGGAAGTTTTTAGGATCCATATTCTCAACAGGGCATTTAGCCAAACGCCACTTTAGCGCTAGTCTACAGAGAGAGTAGAAATCAAAATGTATGGGGATGACACTGACAGTGTCAAAATTTACGTCAATTCCATATAATTTGGTTTTCTATTCTACATGTAGACAAGCGCTAAATGGCATTTGGCTACAGCTGCTGGATATTTTGAAACAAAAAGTAAAATACATGAAAAACTTGTATTCCATATTCTTAACAGTTAACACTACATACTAAAACACATCAAATGCTTTTAACAAATCATGTTTGCGTTCATTTTAATCAATTTTGAACCTTATTATTCCGACATAACACTGTTAATACATGCATAAATACACGCCTTTTACCACCGAAGGGGTAGGCAGGTGCACATACGGCACTTAATGACACTATACAATGTAACATCCATTTATGAGTCCCATGTAATAGGGTGTGAGCCTATTGCCATATACCGGGCACATTTTCAGACTCCGTGCTACTGCTAAGATTTTAAAGACTGTTAGGGATTTTAAACATTTTCAGTATGCTTTATAAGACAATTTTTCTAAGATAATCAGTACAATAGGAGTAGGATAGATGACGGGGTACGAAAATAAAAAATCTAATTAGTACGCAAGTTAGGTAATGAAAAAATATTAGACACGTATTTTTTATTTTGTCGTATAATAAAAGAATGAGATAAAATGAATCAAAGTTTAGGAGTGGGCGCTAAAACGTCATATCTACGTATAAAGTACATAGAAGTGACGTCACGCGACATTTCAAATCAATAGATCGTCGAAAGTATTCGTTTCTGTAAGAAAATAAAAAATACGTGTCTAATGATTTAAATTAATCTACCAGACGGACATTGAAATAAAAATTTGTGATCTGGTCTATTATAGTCAACAATTAATATTAAAATAATTGTTACCGAAAGTCATTTTTGATAACAATATGTTTTCACTTCAACTGAAACGATTTTTAAACCTTATATCCTAGGCTGTAAGACTCAAAATTGATCAGAACATTATTTTTTATATAGCTACCTACTTAACTTACAAAATGAATTCTTAAGGGCGTTGTCAATGTGAGCAGATTGTGAATACATTTATTACCACCGCTACTCTTCTCACGGGTGTCGTATACGCGACTAAGAGACCAGGGACAGAGACCGTACAGCAGTGCTCTCTGATAAACCTGAACCTTTTATACTGCGATCTCCAACCCGCCTGCCTGCGAAGATTATGGCAAACCCTCTTATGTAGAGGAGACTCACTGTGCAGCAGTAAACAGTCATAAGCTAAGGATTTTTTTATGCAAAACAGGTAAACGAGCAGATGGATCACCTGATGGTAAGCGATCAGTGCCGCCCATGGACACCCGCAACACCAGAGGAGTCACAGGTTGCCGGCCTTTTAAAAAGGAATACGCTCTTTTCTTGAAGGTTCGAAGTAAGAAAAGTCGTTTCAATTAGTAAATCTGATATTGACCATTCACTATTGCACTCTTATATCTATCTCCTCTTCCTCCCTCCTACCTGACTTCTCTCTCTCTCCCCTCTTTCTCTTGCGATACCCACGACAAGAGTAGCGGTAGCAAAAAAGTTTGTAAAAAACCTAACCTATGATACACCTACATCCGTAGTGGTACTAACTAAGCGAGATTGGACCTTATCTATAGCATTATAAGTCTCAATTTTCGGTTCAGAGCCAATTTGAGGCGTATATTCTTGAATAGTTAATTTCTCTATTCTAAAATCGTCTTTATGATGAACTATCATGTGGTCTTTTAGGTAATCGATTAAAAATTGGAATTCACAAATTTTACACTGTATGTATAGCTTTGGGTCCAGAACTTCATGTTTTTTTGAGTGTTCGTAACACATTTTAGCGTCTACGAAACATACGTTGCATTCAGAGCATTTATAGTAGACCATTTCTTGGTCATTTTGCATAGAATCTGCTGTTTTTTCACTTATTTTTACATTATCTTCGCTCATATTATCAGTTTCCGGGGCAACTGTCGCATTATTGCCCTGATACAGAGCAATCTTATGCATAATTTCAGCTGCAGTAGAATACGCAGTTTCGGTTAAGATTTTAAAATCTTCCAGTTTTAATTTCATTCGATCGTGGTGTACATATCTGTGTCTAGGCAAGGTGTGTCTTGAAAAATCTAAACCACATATATCGCAATTATAATTCTCAGTCTCTGACGGTTTTTTGTGATTTTTGACGTGGTAGTCAAAAGATGAGTCCTTCATGTAATGTTGGTTACAGATTAGACATTTGTATAAGTTAGCTTCATATCTATTTACCAGCAATTTAGATTTTAATTTGTTCGACAAGCCAGAACCGTCGTTCGAATCATTTTTGTCTGTCAATGTATCCGTTTCTACACAATGATCCGAAATTTGATCGGGCACTATCAGTTCTTCGTCTTTGGCCGCTTCATCAATTTTCGATCGACTCCTTCTAGATTTTGGAGGCTTGTGGTCTATTTCTGAAATTGCATGAGTTTGATCTGGTATTTCTAATTCTTCGTTTTCTTTTGACGTCGACGGCTCATCGATTTTAGAGCGACTCATTCGCAAATTCGGTGAATTTTCATCTAATTTTGGTACCTTATTAAATATAGGACTATCATCATTAGCGGTTGTCAAATTACGCTTTTTCGGCGATTTTAAATCATTATCGACCTTATTACTACCTGTCAAAAAGTAAAACTGTCTTGTAACTCCGTTTACGATTTTAATTTTATAGTCTTCGTTCGCAATATCGTGTAGCTTAATATGTTTTTGGTACGAACAATTGGTGAATCTCAAGCCACAGACTTTGCAAGTCAGGGGAGTCTTATGTAAGTGATTAACTTCGTTCGCATGATATTTAAACGTGTTATTAGCCAAGTAGCTGAGATCACATTGCTCACATTTATAAACAGTAGTTTCTCTAATAATTTTCTTAACTGTGGTCAACTTCTTTATATATAGTAAATCAGGATTATTGCAAGCGACGCTATGAGCAACAAGCGTCTTTTTATCGAATAACAATTTACAATTTGTGCACTTAGCTCCATTTTTCGGATTACATATCTGCGTGTGAGCGTTGAACGATGGCATATCGACAAACACTATCGTACAACTAAAGCATACGAAATAATTGACTTTAACGACTTTTACGATGTCAAATTTCGTTTCTTTGCTGTGATGGTTAATTATATGCGTGACTAACAAATCAGTTGGAAATACCAAGTCGCATTTACTGCACTTTTCTTTAGATACTTTTAAACTATTATTACAAACTTCAAGGTGATTTTCTACACTTTTTACGGACGTAAAGTGGAGACCACATTTGCACTTGTAAACCTTAGCCGAAGGATCGTCTTTTACTGGATTATTACCCGTAAACAAGACGATGTGAAGATTTGTCTTTCTGATATGCGGCTTCTTTCTATGCGCTTCCATATGAACTAGAAATTTCTTTTTGGAAAAATATTGCTCGCATATATTGCAAAATTTCCTATCGCTTTTAGCAATGCAATTGTGTCTAGGCACGCTATATTTTAAACTGACACAAGTGTCACAATTTCTACATTTATATAACTTAAAACCTTTCTTCGGGCCATCTTTGAGTAGCAACTCTCTTAGTTTAGACAACGGGACCTCTTTTTGCTTCTTTCTTTGAGAACGGACTTTAGATTCGAGCATTCGAAGGTGGTTGTTAAAGGCCTTGTCGCATTCATTGTTAAAGCTAACAATAGTGAATTTTTCAGTAATTTTTTCATGATCAGCATCATGGTCTAATAGATTTTGTAGAGAATTGAATGATACCTGACATTTTTCGCATTTGATTTCATTGTTTTTGGCGCAATTGTTCGCTATATGAGAGGATATTGCCAGTCCGTCCATAAACTTGTTGCAGTTCATGCAGAAATATTTCTTGTTATCTGTTACTGATGTGGACTCGACTTGCAGGCGGATGCTGCGTGTGTATCTGGAAAAGGAAATTAAACATTTTGTTAGACCACTATACTTACATCTCTTTGTACATACTAGCTTCTGCCGGCGGGTACCCCCGCGTTCGTTTGAGACAAAAAGTTGCCTAAGTGTTATTCTAAACTTTATTATTTAATTATATAAATAAAAGATAAGTGTGGGAGAGCCATGCTTCGGCACGAATGGACCGGCTCGACCAGAGTGATACCACGGCCGAGCAGAAAACCAACGTGAAGCAACGCTTGTGTTGTGTTTCGTCGTGTGAGTGAGGTTACCGGAGGCCCAATTACCCTCCTCTTCCCCAATCTCCCCAATCCCTGAATCCCCAACGATCCTCAAACTCCTAATCCGGTAACGCACTTGTAACGCCTCTGGTGTCCCAGGTGTCCATGGGCGACGCCGATTGCTTACCATCAGGTGATCCGTCTGCTCGTTTACCGGCTTATGCCTAATCATAGACGTGAAACTTAACGAGTCACTTTGCAAAATAACTAATGACGTAAACTGTAAAATCTAATTAATTACTTTAGCAATAAGGTTTTTTTAAGGAGCGAAATTCATCGAATGACTGCTCCCGCCTTGGTAAGGCGGGAGGGAGTGCCACTCTTACTGACTAAAAACCACCCCGTTCCTTCTCCTGCACGTCGAGCCGGAGCCCCGGTAACCCGTTAGGTTCTCCGCGACAAGTAATAAGGTTAAAGATATAATAAGGGTTTGCAAATACCCCACTAACATTTTACACGACTTGGGAATGGAAATAAAGACGGGCAAGCTCTGCAGATGAGTTTGCATTTTTACGAATATCCTCTCGCGCGTTCTCGTACATACGGGTAAATATATTAATAGAAATCGAATGAACTATTCTGTTCAATCAAATAAAGAACGGGTTGCAAACTTGTAAAATATACGTCACAGAAAAAATATCCCGTGCGCGTTTCTCGTACACCCGTGTGTACGAGAAACACCCGAGAAGATATGTCAACAATCATAGAAAAAATTGAAAAACATACCTATAGACACTCTTCAACAAAATCTGTCTCCGATCCATGTCGGGCAAATCTGAGAATAGAGACATCCACTCCTTCTTGAACAAATGCGATGGATTATACATTAGAAACATGAATGAATCCCGTCCTAAGTTTACATTATTCACATGGAGGTTGTGATGCAAATGATACTCCTTCTCAGCTACTTTAAGATCACATTTGTAACACATTTTATGGAAATCTGTTATAACGTAATTCAGATGTCCCTGGGAATGAGTCACTGCGGAGTCATAGCTCATATTAACTAGCTTACAAGTTTGACACATGTAGATGACATTCCACAAACTCTTCAATGAATTATATTTCTTCAAGAGCTCCGGTATCAACTCATCTACAGTATGGAACTTTTTGTGTATCCGATAAGCAGGTATGCTAAACTTTTTAACACACACTTTGCATGTTATATACCTTTCCTGCTTGCATTTATGCTCCCTGACGTTTTTGTGGTATAAAAAGTGCTTCTCGCATTTCTGGCACTGATACATTTCTGGGATTGGCGGAACCATTACTTTGCCGCTTATTAAATTGAATATTTTTATATCTGAAAGCTGGAATGAGCGTTTGGCGTGTAAGCGGTTATGACTGGTCATGCTATTAGCTGAAAAACATAGACCACATTTATCGCAATATTTCTTTCCTTTTGAACTTTTGCACATGCCATCTACATGGCCCTTGTAATTTAGTTTGTATTGACAACAGCCGCAGAAATCGCAGTAATACAGAGGTATATCGTGCGGGTATATTACTACATCAGCGCTTTGTTTATGCTTTGTTTTTTCTTTATACTTCTTTTTATATTCCTTAGCTTTTAGCTTCATGTCAGCCAAGTTCTTAGCAGGATGGTCTAGAAATTCAATGACTATAAAGTCTTTTTTAGTCAGTTTCTTTGTAGCATGCTTTATGCGGTGGAGTTGGTACCTTGTGGCTGCGATATGCAGATCACAGTCGGGACAACGAGTCGACTTCTTTTCGGATTTCTTACATTTACCGTAATGCGCCCAAAATCCTAGCTCGTCGAAGCATGACAGACATTTGGGGCACTTGCAAAGGACTTTGTCGTATATATTTTTGTTTATAGTGTAAATTTTCAATTTATCATTGGTTTGATGTTGGAGGGAATGTACCACAGAGTCCTTTTTTCGAATCTTTCGTTTGCAAACACCACATTTGTCGAATACCATCGCTTTTTCGCAGTTCTTACTATGTGCCTGCGCACTGAAACACGATAGGAAACCGATCTGACACTTATTACACTGGAACAAAGTCCCTCTAGGCACAAGAGAAGAGGACGCGAAGAATTTGCCATCTCTAGGCAGTTTAAACCGAATTTTTCGTTTCCGTACTTCTACTATCGGTTCTTCAAACTCTTCATTCGGTTCAATTTTGATATTTTTCTGTACTGGAGTAGCAGATTTAACTTTTTTGGGGAATGGAATCACCGATTTCTTCGGCTTCGTCGTCTCCGAATCTCCCGGTTCCTCTTTGACGGGGAAATTTAGCGGTAGGAGTTCATATAAGTGTTTAATTAGGGACGTATCATCTGGGAAGTTTTTGGAGCAATGGTGGCAATATTTTGAAGTTACCGTGCTTTTTCGAGCGGTGTTCTTAGGGGTTACATCTATGGCGACTAGGTAGGAATGGCTGATCATTTTATGGGCATCTAAGGCGTTGACTGTTGGGAAGAGGATGGCGCATGTGTTGCAGTAACATGGGCTGGATTCGAGGGCTGGACCCCAATCTTCTAAGTCTACTATAGGATGGGAGGTCTCGGCCTCCAATTTGAGTGCGTCCCAATCGACTGGCGGTTTGGATCCTGAAATTAAAAAGTGGGATTGGGTAAAATTGTGCTGTTTTTAGTTGGCATGTTACCAATTCTTCAGACCACATGGTACATAAC